GAGAAATGTTCTGTTGTCGTTTTTCTCACTTTGTTTTCTGCCAGCCCTTTAAAAATCCAGTTCTTGGGTCTCATATGATGCTCCAGAGCTCTCTAAAATGCTTTGAATTGGACGATTTTCTCCAGTTTTGTACGCAGATAAAAAGATTCCTGTATGCACTTTTTTTTTGTCGACACCTTAATAAAGGTCTTTATTTTATAAGTTGACCTACTGATCAAAATTATTATATTGATTTTGATATTATATATGTATACATGGAATCTTCTTGAAATAATTATTCGATATATTAAATAAAATTTATTTAATTTCAAGCCTATTAAGTAACTAACCCTTGCCACTCGGATGCTGCCTCTCCGGTGGTTAAATATTATAGTATTATAATTATAAGTATTAATTCTGCCAATAATGAGTGGAAAGGAATTGCAAGTCAAACTAATTTCGAAGTGTCAAAGTATGACTAAGTTTATGTACCTTACCCTTTGACTAAATGCAGATTTTTTTAACGGGGATCATAACTACATGTTCTATGATCTGTATTTGCTATGGTACATCCAAAACTAGTATTTTTCTCGAGAACAACCACTCTTTTTTATGTGCAGGCTATACAAATTATATATGTGTATATCTTATAGTGTTGGCGTGTATGTGTTGCAGCAATGCCTACGAAGGGCGATTTTTATATTATACTGCGTGATATCGAGCTAGCAGGGGTTGTAATCGAATTCTGCTATTTAAAGATAAATTCATTTGTGCCTTACCCTTTAACTTCATACAGATTTTTTTATCATAACTACGTGTTGTATAAGCTGTATTTGCTATCGTACATCCAAAACTGGAATTTTTGTCGAGAACAACTACTTTTTTTCTGTGTTGACTATACATATTAGATATGTATAATAGTGTTGGAGTGCATGTGTTGCAGCAATTCCCACGAAGGGCGATTATGTCATACTGTTTGATATCGAGCTGTTAAGGGTTAGAATCGAATCCTAGACTAGTTTGTGCTAATCCACGTTCTTAACCATTATACCATGACAGGCTATCAAGCTATGTAAAGATAAATTTATTATATTATGTTCACCATTTCTCTATTTCATTTTTTGTAAGGTACAATCTCTATTTATTATTATTGTCTAATAAATTCATTATTAGCTAAAGAGATTTTGTTTTTCCTTCTTACGACTTGCCACTTAGAAACCATTCTCAATTTACTGTTTCCTTTTTTTACTTTGATTTTTCTTTGGTATAGTATCATTTTACGAGATAAAAATTAACTAAATGTCGTGGCATAAAAATCTATAATAAATTAATGTTCAATTGATACCATCTGTATTTCACGGTATTGAAATTTGTTTGATTAGTATTTTAAAAGACCTTGTATAAACGCACTGGAGCGTTCGGTTTAATAAGAGATGCATAAAATAAATACACATTTATGGCGAAAATGTTCTATTGTCGAAAAACATTTCATACGTTTTGTCGCATTTGGAAATATCAAGTCTAATCATTTTATTTTAAAATTTTTAGCGATATGTTAACGATTAAAGATTAGATACAATACAATTCAATAATTCTTAATTTTAATTAAATCAATACAATTTTTACAGTTTTTTAATAAAAAAAAAACTTTATGTAAGTTTTTGTGACCAATTTTGAGAGAGTAGATCAATTAATATTTATAGCAGATTCTAAATGTGCCATAAATAGAAGTCCATTTACCTGTATTATAAAGCGTACACATTAATGAATACTAATTTAGTTTATTATAATTTAATTTAGCTGTAATTCCACGAAATTTCAGCATTTTTCAATAGTAATATGAAGATTTCATTAATGGTTGCTACAACGATCTTTCTGAAAACTTCCATCATGCAAAAATAGACTTGTACTTTACTCCGGTGTAAATATATTTACACAGCATAACAATTATATGTATATACTGATTATTTTACATAATAATAATAATTACTCATATATTCAAAGTTTGTAGAAATATATTCTAAATGCTGCTCCAATTGATCTAATTATTGCTATATATTTATACTATGCAATTGAACAAAAGTTTGCTACATGAGTTTACTATCATTCTTCATCTAACTTTATATAAATTATATCCTGATTTCATGATACGATTTATTTTGGGGCTATGAGCATCAACCATTCTTTGTCCTATCAAAAAATATCATTGAGCGAGAATAAATCTCCTTATCCTTGGATGTGAAATTTCACATTACACCAATGCTCAGATTTACGGTTTTCTTGTCCCATTAATACTGTACCATTTTAATTCATATTAATTCATACCTGGATTCTTTTTCCCCTTATACGACGATTACCTTATATAATCAGTATTACCTATCCCATCTATAGTATGTATGCATCTGCCCTAAAAGTCGTTGATCGGCTAAAAAGGTGACAGATGTTTCTAAAGAAAAACGTTCTTTCCTTGCTCAGTACTGGTACTCACATTTTTACCCCCGAGTCTTTGTCAAAAGGTAATAAGGAAGGTGTGCGACAATAATATGACCTTATTTTTATTGGGAAGACTTCTAAACTTTTTTGTCGAGTAACGCAAGAGGTTTGATCGATTGAGAGAAAATTAATTTGGGTTTGTCTAATTAATTCATATCAGCAATGGTAATAATAATAACTACATATATATTTAATTCACATAGAACTTTTTTATAACGATTTTTGAAGATTATTTGAAATTAGTAATAAGTTTTACAAGTTTTTAAATTAGGGGTAGTTCGAAACAAAAATTCTTAGGCATTTATTACAATCGATCAGTTTTCATATTTAGTTTATTAATTGCCTAACACAAGAATGAATAAAGCTGTAGTATTAAGTGAATTTATTTATATTCTATGATTCATATAATATAATAGAAGTTCAAGACTATACATATTTGTTAAAAAATAAAAAATCAAGATATCAACAAGATTATTTGTATCCACACTTTCCTTATCGCACAAATATTTTATATATTTAACATCAAAATTTTGAAAATCTTTAATTATTTAATGAAGAGCTGGGGTCAAAATATTGGATTTGAAAATGATATCTACTTCGGTCAATGCTTGAGAAACACAAATTTATTGCTTTCAAAGTTTTCTATCAATATTTAATAATTATAGACGTCTGGCTGCTGGAAATTCCTAAAAGATCCTGTTCTGATAAAGAATCAGATATTGTTTAACAAGTATGAACTCTGGGAAAGCCATGTAGATCTATTTTTTTTATATGACTTACTTTAATGATATCGTATTCTTATACTTTATAGATGCAATAATTATTTTTATAGTATGTACCTCATTTTGCAGGTATAAGGTAAAGAATCAAATTTCCAAGTTAAAGATACAGATAAGGGTTGGAAACAAAAACATCTGATGCTCTTTTATCAAATATACTCACACATTTGTTCTTTATAAATTAAATTATAATTTAATTTTGAATATTATTTTTGAGATAATATTGATAGCAGGACGATATAAAACAAATAAAAAATCTTTAGCATTTCTAAACAAATACACCAAGTAGTATTTAATTAAAAGTCCTTTATCATAGTACTGCATTTTGCTTTTATAATATATTCTATTACTACATAACTTACTGAAATCAAAATATCTAAAGTAGATTTATTTTTTTGATAAGGGCCTGTCATGGGTTAATGGTACGAGCTTTGGTCTTGCAAACACAGGTATTATGTTCCATACCCAAATCAAGCAGCAGTGACACCAGTTTTCCGTACAGATATATATATAATAATACTTTACTACGTATTTTACATTATTATTCAAGTAATTCCAATTATAATAATATAGATGGGTGAATTGGGGTGCCACCTAAAAAGATCTTCAAAAATAAGGAACTCAATCTAATAAATGAACTTATGATTAAATTTATAATATTAATTACAATATAATATATAGATTCCTAAAAAGAATTTAATTTGATGGTTATTACAAGTTTTCTACTAAAGCAACTAAATTTAGATATCCAATCGTTTTTAAAGAAAAAGAATTTAAATGTTATTTGTTGTTATCCTGAGATACTCTATCATAGCAACTGCATTTAGATATTATTTATTCAACATCTCGTGGGTAAGTTATTGTAATCGTCCAAAAATCGAATTGCATATCTTTACCTTTTCTGAACATTCTCAGAAAAAATGTATGTGTGTGTGTGTGTGTGTGTGTGAATGTATGTATGTATGTGTGGACACAATTTTTCGTCCACGTTTTCGGGCGCACTGATCAACGGATTTGAATGGTTAAAAAAACATTCGATTCCTATTGATAGATAGATGTGCTGATTAGTTTTTGGCAAAGACAGGTCTAGCCGTTTCGGAGATACGAAGCAAAGAGTGCAGATAGAAATCGAGTTTTTATTTTAACTTTGTGATTATTTTTATATAATTCTTATAAATATTATCCGATATTACGGAATTTATAATAATCTTTTTGAAAACATTTAATATTCCTCGAACATTTCGTTACGGTACGGGAAGTTCCAGCCTTAAGGCACGATGCCATACACCACTAGTTTATATTTGGTATAGTAATATTGTTTATATTTATATATATAATAAGGATGCATTGTTCTATTGATTAAAATTGATGAACAATACAATGTTTTCTTTTTGAATACGAGTAAGTTGATACATCATACGTCATCCATCGTCGGATTATATTTTGGTTATCTTGAGTACGGAATTTGCTGTAGGTGTGTGAGGGTTGTTGTTGAGGTTATAAATCAAAAATATCTTTATGAAGTACATCAAAGCAGTATGTGAAATGGAATACTATTATAAACATAAAGTAATAATGGCATAAAATATAATTCATATAATTTATCAATCAAGAACTTTTTTTGATGACTTGTTAACAAGTACCACACCTTGTAGTATCTGTACCTGTCATTAAATGTTACTCATTAAGTTGATTAATATTTTATACACCTGTATATATTTATTATATTAATTCTTCCTTTTCTTTTAGGCTGTCAAACGTCGACTTAACTTGAACATGACAAGTTCAGTCCCAGTTCCTCCTCCTCGACCAAAATTTAGGACTCCCAAACAAAGGAATCCCAGAGGTGGCGGCCAAGGATCTCGTGGTGGTGCTAGCAATGCTGGTAAAAAAGTGGAACGTACACGTTATGACACATCACTCGGGTTACTCACAAAGAAGTTTGTGCAGTTACTTGAAAACTCTCCCGATGGAGTTGTTGACTTAAATGTTGCTAGTATACAATTAGATGTTCAAAAGCGCAGAATCTATGATATAACAAATGTACTGGAGGGTATAGGAATATTAGAAAAGAAATCCAAGAATAATATTCAATGGAAATGTGGCGGTAAGAATCAACTGCAACTTATTTGTTTTTTACGAACTCATACTTCTAGATGCTATAAATTCAGAAAGCTTAATGATAATTAAATAGTCCTTAGAAATGTTCATGATATTTTCTCAATGTGGAGTAAAGAGCAGTTTTTTTATTTCTGCCAGGGTTACTCATTTCACATACGAGTTTATTCAGTATCTGTTTTTTATTATCAATAGGTGCAGTGGAAAGTTCAGACCTTAAAACTCTTCAAAAAGATATTGAAATGTTAGAGTCAAAAGAAAATATGCTTGACTCTCTACTGCAAAATGCTGAATGCGAGTTAAGACAGCTTTCAGAAAACAAAAGTTATGCTTACATCACTTATGCAGATCTTAAAAGCATACCAGACTTTGCAGATCAGACTGTCATAGGAATTAAGGCTCCACCAGAAGCACAATTAAAGGTATTATTTTTATGTAACAACTCTATATTAGATTCAATTTCAACTTAAATATTTTTTTATTATTAACACATTATTTGTTTCAAAAGGTACCAAATCCTAATGCTGATGGATATGAAATATACATGAAGACTGATACTGGTGAAATAGAAGTATTTGTGTGTCCTGAGAATGGAAACACTGCACAAGTACCTTTTGAACCATCAGACCCGCTATTACAAGATATAAAGCCATTACTGACCCCGGTGTATGAAGACTTTAAACATAGAACTAGTCCACGGTACAAATCTAGACCTTTAAGTCGACACTTAGGTTCTGCTCAGAGAAACTTAAATACAACACTGAGCTTAACTGATAATAAGAACAGTCAATCACCTCTTATTAAAGAAGAACCGATTGATTACTTACAACAAACTGTTACGTATCCTGTGATTTCTAAAGCTTTTAATGTTCCTAAAGACGAACCTATCGACAATAACACATTAGGATCAAAATATGATCTTATGTCTGATGTGAGTAACTTCAATCCTATGGATTCGATGCAGAACCAACATGATGGTGAGTGTGCTTTGATCATATATATTTATTTTCTTAAACTATATTTAATCTTATATGTCCAGTTAAATATTCTTTGCTGAAATAGGAATGTTAATGACTGCATGACTGTATGCATAGACTTGATACTTTGTTTACTAATATTCATACAGCATTCTTCATTCATTATATTAATATTGAGATGATTATTAATTGTATTTTAAAATTTAAGCAGTTTATTCCAAATTTATTTTAAACTTATACTTCATCATATCTAAGTTCAAGAATGATAAAAAAATATATAAACATATACATATACATATTTAGTATCAGCTGTATGTTCACTTCTGCTTCAATGCTCAAAAAATATTCTCAATATTTTTATAACGAATTCAGACAAATCTGATTCTCTTAGCAAAGTTTTTGTTACTTACTTCAAATGTGGGAGATCCTGGAGACTATTGGTATTTTATTTTACTAACAATGTAAATTTTAATTGGGTTAACAACATGAAACAACAAACAAAGCATGCTCATAGTTCAAATTAATGAATCTGTTTAAGGGTTGCTTGTAGGGACTCAGGTTGGGATACGTTGCTTTTAAATTCGCATCACAGTCTGAGTTCTTGCTAAGCTTTCCTTATCATCTACAATATAAAGATTTATATTTTTAAAAGTATCACTATGATGGCATGGCAAATTCTGAAATAATTAATATTCTGGCAGTTTGTGTTTTTGATTTTGAATATATCATGATCATATTAACTGATAATATTAAATATCATGAACAAATATATCTTTAATCATTTTTTTCCATAAATATTTTTGAAATTTTGTACCCGAGACCCATAATTTGTCAGAATATGAATTGAATAGTAATTTTTAAACAAAATTAATATAATTTAAGGGGCATTCTTCTGATCTATTATTTTCCGAGATTTAGCTGTATAATCACGATAATTTTCCCTTGTTTCTTTCTCCTACGAAACTTTAAACGCGTTTTTTTCTGTCTTTTTGACTACTATACTCATGATTTCTTATTTTCTACTGGACCCATTTACTTGAAATTTGTACAGAGTCCTTTCTTGACTTCTTCAGCATGAACTATGCTCATTCTTGAGAATATCAAACAAGTTTTAAAAAACTTTTTTTTTTATTCTTCAGATTATTTGGAGGTCTGAAATCATGGGTATGGTTAGGTGCTAATTTTTCGAGACTCGCCACTTCATCAACTAGAATTAAATCTTTGACTATTATTATTTAAAAAAAAAAAAATAGGAAAAATATTGTTTGCTTTTTTATTATGGTTTTTCAAAAATCGCATAAATGAACATAGTGCTATTTTTATATTTTCTATTGAACAAAATATTCATTAAGTTATTATATTCATTATTTTTGTTGCTCTGTAACATTTAACATTATTCCTAATTGGTGGTTTGATCATTGGAGGAATGTAACACAATCTAACAATAAATGAAATTATAGATTATTTGGAATATAATATTATTATTTAACATTCTAATGCTTCATTTTAAAACTGGGTGCTGTAAGATATTCTTGAGTTGAATGTTGTGTTGCTGCAAAACATTACTATATATATGTAGCACCATGGGATTCAGCTCTGGCGTATCTATATTCTACTAACATTTCAACCTTAAATTGTTTGGGAGTCAATATTATCTAATTTGACGGTGATAACAAATAGTCGACAAAATATGATGCTGTTTTAATAACACACTAGAAATAATTTTGTCTCCAAATTCATAGATAAACTAAAACAAAATGGAAGTGGTCTCACAAATTTATGTTTTTGTTATTTATTTCTATAATATTTTGGTTCATATATACATATTTTTTAATTTATTTATACTTATTTTTCTGTGTTTCAGCAGACCCCTTAGTTTGCTCGTTCGAGCCCTTTCTGTCGTTGGAACCTCCTCTTGGGGATACTGACTACTCGTTCAGCCTTGGCACGGAAGAAGGTCTATCAGATCTTTTTGACTTCGATTTTTAATGAAGCTGACTTCAATTCTCCTGTTAAGTTCCTCACATTCAAGATCAACTCTTTCTTGATTCAATGTTTCAATGTTTCTACATTGAGTTGATCAATTTAATGGGGATTAATGTCTCACTTATATTTAGTGTATAAATATGTTACATGAATATTGAAATATGTACATACTATGCTGAATAATTACAAATTAAGTTAAGTGTGATAAAACTTAAAAAAGAGAGAAATGATGGAATGAAACTCTACCTTAGGTGCCTGATTTCTTATTTATACATGAAACTTGAAATTAAATAACCAAAATTTGAACAGTATAAATATCATTGTTTTCCAAAACTTGTTTATGTTAATCTTATAAATATCATTTGTATTATTAAGTCTTGATTCTAAATTCTATGCTTATTTGTAGCATTTAAAAATAATTTTATATATGTAAAAAGGTGCATGTGTTGATTCGCTGCAAGTTGTTATTCTATGGTTGTATGTTTTGCACAAACCGAAAAAAGGTATTACAATTACCTTTTACTGCACTAGGTTTGTTGGAATATGTATGAATCTAATAATCTAATAGAAAAATATTATTTCTGTAATGTTTTCCAATTCAAAATTTTATATCCAAATCATGTAAATTTATACAATATACAAATAAATCATAATATATTTTGGATAATGTGCCCACTGCAATATAGTAAGTTACCTAACACATTTTTTAATTCTTATGTTTCATGTTAACTATTTTAGTCAAATTTTAGTAAATAAACGCAAGTTATATATTTTTTCATAGATTTTAATTTATATGTATGATATATGCATTTTTAATATCCCATTGCAAATAAGTTTATTTCATAGAACATGGAGTGATGTAAATATTTTTCTATAAACCATTTTGCTATTTGATGAATGGATGTAACGAAATTGTTTTAATCCATGCATGTCGTATAGCAGTGCAAGTCATTTCTATTAGAGGCCTTTATTAAGACTTGTTGCATAAGTCCTTAAAAATCATCTACCTGTAATGTTCTAATTTAATTGTTTATATTAATATTTAGTTCTAATTGTTATATATTTATGGCATTTTGTGTATATGCTTTATTTTTTCGTTGCATTATAATTCATTATGCCATAATCTTAGGTTTAAATAAACATATCATTTCCCAAATTATATAAATAAACCAGTTTCAATATTATATCCATAATGTGTATTTATTCATTCTCACTTAATCATATATATTCATATTTATGTGTTGTTAACGGTGGACGATTTGTATATCAACAAATTCAAAATGCGCGCGCTTTCGAGAATAAACTTTGGAAATACGTTCAGTCTAACTACTCTTCGTCGCCGAATGAATTGTTTACAACGTACGTCGATTCGTTCTCCGGAATTGCTCTCCCAGAATGCTATGCGTTTGACAGGTGTGCGCGCGCAGTAAAGCCAAGATGGCTGCCAAGAATTGAGAAAGGTAATGTCGACTGTTTAAAATCTTTTAACATCCACGCTCATAAATGGCGTAATCAGTGTTTGTGTCATATATGTACATTGTAAATAGTTCCGTGTATAGTTAGTGATAATATAAATGTGTTTTAATAGAATTGTGAATGTGAAAATTGTGTATAAATATTAGTGTTTTGTGTTTTCAAACAATTTTTTACCGTACCGACGCCGACGTTCAAACGTCAAAACAGATACTAATACACCAAGTTGATGATAATTTTGCATAATAACTAACAAAAGGTAATATATGCATTGATATTTTAGCTTTAGCATCTTATTTTTATTGTTATTGAATGAATTCTCTTTGTTTTGTCTTTGCTGTCAAAGTTAGGCTGCCATTTGTTTAGACTAGCCGCAGACGGCTTTTAGTCTCGAAATGTCATAATGCTATTTTGCAAGTAACTCAGACGCTGTATGTAAAAAAATAGTTTAAATAACTTATTGAACTAAAGAAACAGTTTTCAGTTTTTGTATTTACTTTAGATACGTCTATTTGGCATGACTTTGCTATTTTAATATTTAATTGTGCTATAATTTGCAATAGTGATGTAAACATCTACAATTTAATGTAACATTTTATTAAAAGATAGATGTTTAATTAATAAATTCATAGCATATAATCTACAACTATTTCACAATTTGCTAATGCTAACAATACAACCTTTGTAAATTTGCTACAATTATCAGCATAAAAAAACCGCTGAAAAAGATTTCTTTATCATAATGTACTAAAACATTTTTTTTAAGAATTATAGCATAATATATATGCTTCATAAGGTATCGTTATTGTTTGTTTGTAATACTTCTACATATTTATTCTAGCATTTGGCTATATTTAATTTAACTTACTACCAGAGTTACTAAAGCATTTTTAATTCATCAAATGAAATTATAAAATGTAAAGTCTTACTTTGTAAACATATCGATCGACTTGTATCATTTCATATTATAATGTGACACTTATAAAGTTATCATTTCAGTTTCATGTAATTTGTTTACTCTTCTGATTTCAAAAAGTTAAAGTTATTGGCTCAAACATGAACGTGTTAACTTTTCGTGTTATGTCTTTTAAATGTTCTAATTTTTTAAATACACAAATAGTTTTGAAAGAGTATTAAATTTATCTGATATGAAGAATAATGTGTGTTTTAAACTAGTCATTTACAATTCGATGTAAAATTTCGATCGACTGCTAGTTCGTGCGACTCTACGTTTGAGCAGCCAAGCGCACCATAGTAAATTCTTGGAAGGTACTAATCCGTTCGCGGCTTGGTGTTATATCTTCCAGATAATTTTCAATTCACTACGAAATCATTCCTAACTATTCAGAGAACTACTCCGCAAATCTATCGTGATAATAATATTATTAAAATCTTAGGATAGTTTTATATCTATATCTTTTTTGTAATAATACATTTTAAAACTTCTCTCAAAGATAGGTATTTTTTGCTAAATAAATTCTAACTTGCCAAAGTAATATATACACAAAATAACATAAGAGTATATATATGAAGCAATATAATTTTGCATTATGAGTAGAACGAATATTAATTAAGTAATATGAACCAATTATATATTTTTGCAATAACTTGATTTCATAAAGTACTAAACTACGACCGTAATTTGTCTCATCCTTAGTATAAATTTAACTGCAACTAGTGGTGTATGGCATCGTGCCTTAATCAAATTGCTGGAACTTCTTGTATCAAAAAGTCGAAGGGCTTATCGTCTAACCCAGTCTTTCTCAAAGTGGGCGATTGTAATGCCCCTATTTACTTAATTAATATTCGTTCTACTCATGATACAAAATTCTACTGCTTTATATTTACATATTTGTATTCTTATGTTATTTTATAATTCCCTCTGACTTACGAATTAGTCGCTAGAATTTATTTTGCAAAATATCCCTATCTTTGAGGGTAGTTTTAAAATGTATTATTACAAAAAAGATAAATATAAAACGATAAGAGGCCCCTAACTAAATTTTTTTACATGTATACACTGTTTTAAGTAGCCTATTATTTGCTCTCACTGGCAAACTTTTCTAATTTAGAATGTAAGATTGCATCAACTAATATTGCACACTATAGCTAAATTATTAAAATTTAAAATAAGGTTTTTTAGAGTTTATATGGGTATAAAAAATTTGCTAAGGGGGCGCTACAAAAGTTTTGATCTTCAAAGAGGGCGTTGGAAGAAAAACGCTGGTCTAACCGATAAAAATTGGTACGGAACCCATATATAATAGACTGCGAGGTAGAGGACATTTTTTCAGTTTTTGCAAAATATTTTCAAAAATTTGTTAAAACATGTATATGTTATCATATATCGTTAAAAAGCTAATAAAATTGTTCTTAATATAGTTACAATATATTTGTACGTTGCTATATTAAAAATTGGTATCATGAATCTATAAACTTTGGCAATATCAATTTTCAAGAATCATCATGAATAGACTGCTGCGAGGTAGAGGACATGTTTTCAGTTTTTGCAAAATATTTTCAAAACTTGTTAAAACATGTAAATGTTATTGTATATCGTTAAAAAGCTAATAAAATTTAAAACGACATATATGAAAAATAATTGTATGTTGCTATATTATAAATGTGAACATAATTTGTACTTATCATTAAAATATCTGAAATTTTGATGTGCATGTATCTAAATATCTAACGATCACTTTTGACTGCCAAGTGGCTTTTTTTCACTTTTTTCATTCGATTCCAAAATTGCTGGACCTGCATTTTTAAATATTTAATCATTTCTTCGTTTCATCAATACAAATAAAATGTTTTTTGAATCATGAAAATCAACTGCTTCGTGCTAAAACTGAATTACCATTTTTGGCACTTTTACCCTGTACCTTTGAAATTGCTAGACCTGCCTTTGCCAAAAACTAATCAGCACGTCTTCTCATTAATATTAATCGATTGTTTTTTTAATTATCCAAATCGGTTAAACCGTGCTCCCGAAATCGTCGACTAAAATTTGTATCCGCGCACATACATGCATACATTTTTTCTAAAGTATGCCAAAATGTTCAGAAACGTTTGAAACATAAAGATATATAAAAAAATTAGTTTTTTTTCCTCTACGGGAAAACTCAAATTACATACATTAAAGTTCATAAAATTATATTGATCATGATGATATTGCTTGTTACCGCATAAATTATTGCTTTACAATACAACAAATATTACAAATTTGAGGTATTGAAGCCAATTATATTGATATGTATTCAATAAAACCAGTTGTGAATATCGACTTTACCATATACACTAAATATTCACTCACACATACAATAATAATATAAGTATATAGTACTATACTAAAGCTGCACGAATTTACCCTTTTAGGTCAAAACCCCTTTTTACTGTAATTTTTTTGTTCCTTGATCATTGGTCTTACGGCCTGAATTTGTTTCTGGGTTTATTTTACATGACTCTGTAATGACAAATTTGTCATATAATCTATAGTACCTACCATATTCTTGATAAATGTTGATTTAGAATAACTATAAAACATTTTAGTTTTATTTCATGCTTTTTATTCGACCAAATTATAAATTATAAATATAACGTAATTAAAATAAAAATTTAATAAGTAATTTTCAAAGATTTTCCACTTACCTCAATCTTCCTAATCGACAAAATCCTTTGCGTGAAAAAGATTCAATATTGATTAATGTAGCTAAAATTTAAATTGTAACACTGTCTCTTATTATAATGTTTTTATCTTATATTTAAAAAAAATCATTTATTGGCTTTAAAGCAATAACATTACATTTAAGGTGAATATTTTGATGAAATTCATTTAATTGTTATAGATCTATTCAGTTCTATTGCTGTAACAATTATTTCCAGTCCCTGAGAATACATATTTTTATTTTCTCATTTTTATTAACTAATAATAAATTTAAACAAAATATTGAACTGGGAAAACCATAACGTTGTAACAATATACTCAAAGTATTCAGATACTGCTGATCTTATTTATCATTAGCCGTTTTTAACACGTTAAACGCCATGTCAGTCATATGTAAAAAAATAAAAAATATGTACCTGACGCTAAAAAGTTCTACATGAGCTTTGTCAGACATTGTAGAAGGCCTGACCTGTACAATAACAGATGTCAATTTAATATAGAAACATAAAAATAGTGTCTTTCCCAGAATTTTGGCAAAAAAAACTATTTTCGTTGAAACATGGCCCAGGTGAATTTTTTTCTAATATTATCGTGGCGATTAATGTGTTTATGAATAAAAATAAATATAATTTTGAAAGTAGTTAATAATTAAGGTAAAAAGCGAACAGTCTCATTATCAGAGCCGGGCGTAGAAAAATTGTTTGGCAAAAATTAGCTTGCCTATATCTATTACTATTTTAGTTAAATTTGTATATTTGCATATATGTATTAAAAAAAAAATTCTTCTTTTCCAGCGATCCGATGAAGTGGTTGGGAGGTGGCGGTGACGGAGTCCCAGCAGCGTCTGGGCGATCGCAAGATGACGCCGCCGTAGGTTACGTATTCCAGCGAGCGGCACAGGACCCGCAAGAATTCCAACAGCAGCAGCCGCAAATCCAACAGCCTGCGGCCGCAGTACCACAGCAAGCTGTTGCCTACTCCAAACAACCGCGATGGGCTCTCGCCGACGAACCAATAATAGACGTGAGTTTATTTGATTCTTTTTAGTTTATTTTATTATTTTTAGCAAATGCAAGTGGAGTTGCTATAGTAAGGGACATTTGTACACATAAAAGGCTTAGTACGCTTCACATTTAAGTCTAACAAAATTTTTTTATATACAAGTATAATCAGAACTATATGTTCTATAAGCTGTACTGAACACTGCTTATTACTAAGACGATATTATTGTTAGTTGGCAATCCATTGATTGTCCTTACCTTTGGAGGCGTCCATTAATCACGTGATCCATTTTTTAAACATTTTTAAGGATTTTTGGACCCCCTCCCCTTTGATGATACGTAGTGATATTCAAAATTAACCCCCCTCCCCCACCAAACATCTCGAGTATTTTTAGTTACGAGAAAAAATTGTAATTTTTTTTTATTTTTTTTGCAAATGTTTGGGTTTTTTTTTGAAATTCAGATAAAAAATATATACACGTGATATCTAACTATTAAATATCTTCCACGTGATATTTCGTAGTTTTTTGTCAAGCCCCCCTCCTCCCGCTAAATACCTCACGTGATTAATGGACGCCCCCTTATCTGAGATATAGTTTTTAATTCCTGGCAACTCCCTGGTCGTCGTTGCAGCAATGCCGGATTAAGGGCTATTTTCACTTGACAACAGGCTGCTCGAAGTGAGTATCGAACCCGGGACCTCTAAATCTAGCCCTGTCTCTCTTAACCGCTTACCTACAGGCGAGCCCATGTTCAAAAATAAAAATGAATTATTAGGTTGAAACCTAAGTATTAGCGGTTTTCGGGTTAGATGGTTTCAATTGAGGTTTGCTGACATAGTCCAAATGCAATATACCTTTTATTACTGGATATTAGGCAGTTTAGATGTCCATCAGGAAAAAGGAGTTTTTTTTATCCATTTCGTAGTTTTCGCCTGGCGTTTATTGAATTTATTGTCATATTTTGTTATTTTTTCTGCAAAGGTATAGAGGAATCTTCAGCTCACGAAAAGATATGAATTATTTATGGTGACTAAGCTTTAAAAAAACGGCAGTGTCAAAATTGGTTAGCCCAATTTCGTTCTCTGGTGATTTCACTCAAAGATGGAAAACGTTCAGGTCGTCCCCAGGTTGAATTTGTTTAAAAAGGAATTGTCTGATTTGAACTGTTATTATCAACCGAATCTATTCTATTCTGATGTCTATAGTAAACAACTAACGAAATTAAACAACGCCTTTAAAAAGCAGTAATTTGTTATCTTTGGCCAGTCTGCAAAAATTATTGGAGCTTGGTTGGGTCCATTTAGTCCTGACCTTGCACTTTTTGATTTTTCGATCTTTACAAATCTCCTAGATTGGTAAACATTTTAAATATTATGATGGTGTCAAATTGTACCTGATTATAAATGCTAATAAATACCAGAAGTTTTATGAAAGTGATGATGATGCTGCTTGAAAGATGGCAAAAAGTCAATGATCAAAATAGACAATACATTATGAATACAGTTTAAATTAAAGTCCACCATACAGTCCTGACTTTGCACCTTGTGATCACTTTTTGTTTCGATCTTTACAAAATTTCTTGAATAGTAAACAATTCAATCAATGATTATGATTGTGCCAAATTGTAGCTGATCCGCTTTTTTGCTAATAAAAACCAGAAGTTTCATGAAATTGAGATGATGTTGCTGCTTAAAAGATCCCAAAAAGTTATTGATCAAAATCGGCAATACATTATAAATTAAAAAACCACTTGGTTCAAGTTAGAGATTTTGTAACACTAACTTGCAATTAGTTAGTTTCCAACCTAATTATATTTTGGATGTCAATAAACAGGTCTAAATATAAATTAGAGATAAAAACATAGATAAAATATAGCCTCCAGTTAATGATATTTACATTACTTCCATTACTTATTTATCGAGGTTTCACTGACAATGAAAAAATCTATAAATAGTGCGTCAATATGGAATTAAATGATTATAAATCATTGATAGGGCATATTAGCAGTGATTACTTAAAGTTCAAAATTATTTGAAATTTGATATTAATATAGATTTAGAATATTGTTTTATATTCTCTGTTTATTTTTACCTTGGGCTTTTCATTCTCTGCATTTTCTCCTTCAAAACCTGCAGTTTATAAACTTGCTTGCAACCTTATTTAGCTTCTCTAACATTTATAATGAGAAACTTAGTACTGCACGCTGAGATAGTAGACGCACAGTGAGTTATTATGACCAGGCTTGATATCATTGTAATGAGCGCCGTGTGATTTTCTTTGCAGAACGCTCTCAAACTGACCTTGGCCTTGTAATATGTAACTTTATATATATTTAATAGACCACGGAGAATTCTACTACTCTAAACCTGTGAAATAGCTTTTGCTGGTTATCATTTTATATGCATAACGCTATGGAGTTTATTTTTAAATTTCTCTATTATTTGGTATTGCGACGTGTAATATATTGATGGCGTAAGACATTCCTGTGACTTTTTTTCAAATAAATCAATACATGGAGCATGATACTGTATGATATACATGGCCATAAAAGCTTACTTACAAAAATTAATCTGAGTTAATGCTTGTATATTTTATGGGCTTTTGGGTATTTGACTGTCATTAGACATCGTAAAGTTGAGAATACGATCCATACGACCAGAGCAGTACTTACGGTGATATATACTTTTAAAAATTCCTGAAATTCATGTCGACATATTTTGACAAATAAGACAAGACAACAAATGAAGAAGTCCTGAGAAGAGTCGACGAAGAAAGGACCTTACTGAGCTTGATTCTGAAAAGAAAAGGAAACTGGATTGGACCCATTCTGCAAAAGTAGTGCCTCCTACACGACGTAGGCGAAGGTAAAACAGAAGGATTGAAAGGTTTGGAAGAAGAAGAATGCAGATGGTTGATGACTTACGCAAGTAGAGGAAATACAGGGAACTGAAAGTAGAAGCATAAGATCATAAAAATACATAAAAAATTTATAAAAAAGGAGGAATACTGGTAATGGGGATGATCGACGAGGAAGAGAAAAGGAATCATTGATTTTGTGGTTGCTTTCGCATTATAGACCTGCCTTCAATTCAACCATTTATTATTATTATTATTATATATATATATATATATACTAGCAAACCCGACGAACTCCGTTTCGCCACCAGGTGGTTTCGTGAGAAAGATGAAGGAATTTTTTGTTTGTTTTATATTTGAAAAGGAAAAATTTGATTTTATTACACAACAGTAATGAATTTATTTCGATTACAAAAATGAAGTTTTTTAGTTGAACTTCTCTAAGTAAATGAAAGTGAATCCGTAAATTATCCGTTTCATAGAAGTGCTCTATGGTAAACCACATTTTTTGTTTTTTGGTCTGAACACAAACAAAGCGGATGGTTTTCCAACTCGTGAACAGGCAACGTATAACTGCCTACGTAAAAAACAATGATTTTCTAAATAATCTATTTGAAATTTATCCTGCAAACACTAAGCGATTGGCCTTGCGACTTGTTAATTGTCATTGCGAACGCAAGGCGAACTGGAAAATGCAATCGTTTGAAGTCGAACAGAAGACCAGTCGAAATCATTGGTATGTCACCAAATCGCCAGCAATTTTTGATTAAATGGTGAAATTCAGTGCGTGTACATCATTATTCTTTGCGGCAAGAATTGCTCGCTGACTTGACCAAGCATAATTCTGATAATTCTCACTGTCATTACTCGAATTTTTAAATACGTTGCGTGAAGTTCCAGCAATTTGCATTAAGGCACGATGCCATGCACCACTAATTTTCTTAGCTATAAACCTTGGGGAGCCCGAGACCTTTCCAACGAATTCAAAATTGTCGAAGTCGGTTCGTGCTTTCTGGAGTTATTTCGTCAGGAAGGACGACTTATTTATTTATATATATATATATATATATATATATATATATATATAATGGTGTATTACTATATTTCTTTTCTATGTCAAAGCTTTTTTGTAGTTGCAAGTAAACCGAGTGATTTTCTTTTTCCTTCTAAACTATAAATGAGATTTCCAGATTAATTAATGAAATTAATATGAAAATCTGTAAAATGAATTGCGTCATTTTGCTGTGCAAAAGGGGGAAGCTAAAGAACGGCACTTCGATTAATTTGCGTTTCTAATTACGATCCCAGCAGTCGTTTTGACGCTGAGAACGACTCAAATTTAATCATACCGTGGTTTCTTCTGCTCACCTAGAGCTGGGTTATTTATGTTTATTGAACCTTTTTCAAAGCCTGAATCTGCCGCAAGTGAATGATAGGTTTTTATGTCTTTTAGCAATTAATTCACAAGGCTGTAAAGAAAATCATTTAAATTTGCATTTGGAAAATGTAATACTAGATTAAATTATATTTGTAATGTTATACATTTTTGTTACAGAATCAGGATAAATGGAAGTACCAACCGCATCAACTAACAAACGCTGTGGCAAACATGACTTTAAAAACAGCCGCACCTCCACCGCCGTTGCCGATTTTAAATCACATTAACCAGCAACAACAGCTGCAACAGCAACAGCAACATTTACAACAGCAGCAACACTTACAACTGCAACAACAACATGTCGGTCTCGCTAATAATCATGTAATGACTCCTTACGGTACGGGCGACCAACAGTCGCAACAGCAGCCGCAACACCTAAATGGTTCGGCTGCTGGTGTTAAACAGCAGGAACATCTTGTATTCCTGGGCGCAGCAGGACAGCATCCGCAATTGAACGTTTTTCCGCCGCAACAAACGCAGCAGTACATGGCCGGACTAGCGCGGAATGTGGTGAGTGGATTGTTTAATTAGTTTAAATATTGTTGAAATTTGTTATATATATATATATATATATATATACTAGCTGAGCCGGCAATCGTTGTTTTACCATATAAGGTATTTGTAACCAATTTCTAGAAAATTGAAAAAATTACTGATTTATTTTAAGTACTAGCTGGCCCGGCAAGCGTTGTTCAGCGATAAACAATATTTCTAAAAAATCTTTAG